TTTGTGGAAGGTGAGAGTTAAAAGCTCAAAAATTGGTCTTTGTATTTTTCAAAATTATCAAAAAAAAACAAAATTGGTAATTTAAACGTGAAATAACAATATTGACGTTATTCAATAAATAATCATTGGAAACGCTCAAAATATAATACTATTATAAAAATAACTATTACCTATCGACAATGAAAATTTCAAAATATTTAGACTAATTTTAAGGTATTACCGGGAACCTTTTGATTTTATATTATACAATACGTGGTACCTATTGCTATTTTAAGTTAATAATAACAATAAAATACATTTTTATAATATATGTGATGTTGTTGGTAATCGCTTGTTGAACCTACCAAATAACAAATAGAAAAAAAAATTATTTTCAGTACCTTATATAAAATATCATGAAATAGTAGTTGATAAACTTTCTTCGTTCAGAATAATTTTTCATATGCAATGATTCAAATCTAACATTTTAACATTTTCATAACAGTGGGCTACTCAATGGTTATGTTAAGTTACCTATGTAATATAGGTTCCTATACAGTTCGCTTTCTGCTTATCCGGTAAAGTGTAATTTTCCGGGTTTGTTTTTTTACTTGAGCCATATTTAACCATAGATTTTTTGTTGTTTTGCACAAATATGGCGTATACAAAGCGAAGATATAGACAAGTTAAATCTACATAAATAAAAAATATTATTAACATATGGTTTGAGTTGAAATATTATTACCTTATCTTTAATGATACGTAAGTTGAGAAACCAAAGTAATCATATAAAATATTTTAAATACTTTGAAGTTTTGCTGTAAGCACTTATACAAATTAGTCTGAATAGTATAATATAAAAACAACAATATAGTTGAATTCTTTGTTAAATAATACATTTTCGTTGACGATAGTAATCCATTTTGAAAGTGATTATATTGGTATTGTACGAGCTAGATTACCTTTATACTTTTGTGTAGGTACATAACAAACGCACAGTTAAACCAAATATTTATAATGTTGTAACAATTATAGCTTTAAAATGTAATGAACAAAGAACAATGAAGTTTAGAAAATGTCAAAAACTTGAAATGATGCAATTGTATTCAAGTGCCATCATTGTAAATACAAAACACAAATTCCTCATCCGTTAATGCAAATGAATCTAATCATCACGAGTGGAAGATGAAAAGAAATGTATACAAATGGCACACAAATTTTAAATCTTGTAACAAAAGCATTACAGCAACGTTATATATTTATTACCTGGATCATAAGAAATCAACTTATCTTATTATAAATTAGTTTTTGTATGCATATTTATTATATCTACGAACAAATTAAAATTAAAAACGCGTGTTTTAAGTACGCATTGGTGTATACTTTTTGAAATGTGTATATTTAACATATTTAATTACTTAACAAACAACAACAACGACAACAACAACAACAAAAACAACACTGTGAAACTTGCTCTGTTGTATAGTAACTATTGAGTGTGCCTCGTCATTGAGTATGTAACTGTAATGGGATGTGTTACATTTTAATTAAATGATAATAAATATTAACCGTTGCTTACGAAAAACAATTCTGATCGAAGACTGTCTGTCAGCATATATTACGAAGTATATTTTATAATAACTTTATTCGAAAAATAATAAGTATTCGGAGTATTCCGATTTGTAATGTATTATGATAAGTTTAGTAAATAATAAAAGAGTTTGTTGAAATAATTTAATCCGAAAACATTGCATTCATTATATTATTAATTACTACAGGAAGGTATTATCAGGTACCTTGGTACCCATATGTTTATATCATATATTATTATTTATTACTGTTATTTTTTACCATTGAAAACGTGGAGTCTTAAGTTCTTACACGTGAGTAGTAGGTAACAAGTTACATATGTACGTTAAATCCTATACAAATGATGTGTGTAAGTTGCCACATATTGGGGAAAAAAATTGTACCTATATTGTGTAAGTATGGTATATGGAAAAAAAAATTACTTGTGCTTACGATAAGATTGATTTTATGGATACGTGTTCCAGTTTTGCAACCAGAATATTATTTAGTCTAACCTAACCATAGATTTCTTCTGGTTAAGTTTAGGCTCCAGAATATCCATGGATATTTCTCAGAAAGCGATATCATTATTTGTTACCATTATCCACGTAAAGTCTATGTGAACGGACATTTTCCGCTATGAACAATATAAAACCTAGTGTCTAGTACGATTTGTTTGAATAATATTGAACTTAATATCTGTTTTCTGTTTGAAATTTAATGGTTAGCCCCCCGATTAGAAGAGTTAGTCACCTTCAGGTTCAAACATGGTATTAAATATAATTACATTTAGGCTGTACAAATTTTGTAGAGCTATTAAATTCAATATACCTACCTACCCATATTTAAATATACCTATATTACTTTTTATATCAGTTTTTAATTACTTATATTTATTTTAACATTGTTCAGATGAACGTTACCTTATAATTAATCTCTAATCAACACAATACAAATTGTATTGTAATTATTTCTTTGTGTGTGTCGAGAAAATGTATAAAAGGATCAAGAAAAAATGGTTGGAAATTTCTGACTTGGAAAAACTTTTCTCGATCCTATCAAAATCAGAGAAGTGAGTATACATGCATTGTATACAAAATATGTTTTTGTGAGGGTTCTTAAACCAAATATCTGTGTAATATCGAAATTGTACTAAAAAAATTAAATTAAAATCCGAACGTGTTCAAAGACACCCAGATTACAAGAAACTTCACAAGAGATAATATAGTTATTTTTACACAAACCAACTTATTTGCATAATACCTTTAAAGAAGAAATAAAAAATAATATATTATTATGTACATTGTTACCTACACACTTATTTTTACAATCAAATAATTAACTAACTGTCATCACACTATTTTTGTTCATACTAACCTATTATTTACCACTCATGTTGTTCATGTAATCGCGGATCGTGACATATTAATGCAGAGATGAGTAGATACGACTATACGAGTATTATGAGTATATAAAAATTGTTTTATGCTACCATAAAATAATTAAATTATAATTTGTGTTCGTACAACAACTTTAGTTGAATCTGTATGTATATGAAAGGATGTTTGTCTGTCTGTTTGGTATCTAGGCTAGCTAGAGACTAAAAAATGACTCTACTGTTTTCAATAAAAGTTATAACAGTAGATTTATTGAGACTTGGAGGGCGTCTTAAAGTTTTTTCAACCCCTATAGCCTATTTGTAGCTAAGGATAATTCACACGTGAATTTATTTTTGACTAATTTACATGAAAAAAAAAAAAAATATCCAAAAACAGTATTCAAAATATGGGTTGCATTTAAAAATAAAAAGTTGTATTGAGCATGTCTAAAATACACGAGTCAAAATAGAAATTAGCCACCCATTCGTCCAGTTGAATATCCCCCAAACAGAATTGAAAATTGTTTACAGGGTAATGAGTGATAATGTGTACCCTGTTTCCGCAGACACACGATGTATAAATATTTGTTCATTCGTTTTGTATCTTAAAATCCTGTATTATATTGACCTACATGGCTAAATAACTTACAAAATACGTATTGCAATTTAAAGAAATGAAAACAAAAATGTTTAAAATGACGGTCTTGCGTAATAAAATCTTATTTCTTTAATATAATGCGGACTTCGTGTAACTCCATAAATAGTATGAGGAATATTAAAAAAGGCAGATAGGTATTCATACATTCCTAATTATTTATATACGAAATATTAAGTAATAATATATTGTGATTTGTGATCATTAATACAATTTTATTTTGGAACTTAAAAGAACTTATTTAATTTGAAAATTCTGGTTTGTTTCTGGTTTTTTTTTTACTAAATACATGTTTCGGTTCTTAATAATTTAAAGGTTCCTGTTGAAGAACCCATTCTATTCGGTTCAGTTCTAATCCCTGAATTTTGGTCATGGTATGGTTTTTGAACGTCACACAAATTTTTAAATGCCTCATCAGTCAACAGACATTAAGTAACTACTGGAAATTATTTTAACTGTCAACAAAAAAACCAAACACCGGTGGGAGATCTGTCGAAACCTCTAAAAAGAGAAACAAATACCGGGATACTGGGTGGTTCGAAGCTTCTACTTCGAGGGCGGGTACAAAATCCGAAGATCGAAAAGCATGACTTGAAGCTGAACGCGCATGACGGAGTCTATCAAAAACGATAATAGTGTATCACAATAAAGCGGCATTAAATAAATTACTATGAATTTTTTTTTTTGTTTATTTAAATGGTTGACATCGGCTACATATTATTATACTAGCAGTCCCGTTAAAAGAAATTTTGGCACTGGCAACGCCGGGTGGGAAAGCTATTATATTATGGTATTATATGATATCCCTATAGTATGACGTGTTTAGACATTTTAGTTCCACAGTGCCTCTACCGTTATGTGTCAGTTGTATACTTTTAATAAGTTAAGTTATGAGTTCAAGTACTATATGCGAGTACTTAAAAAAAACAGTTTGAATTATAAAAATTATTATTATTACTTACACTATTTAAGCTTTTAATCTTGGAAATTGCTATATTATGCAACTAGTTAATAACTTACTAGCAAATGAATTTTTTTTGCGATAATATTAAGACATTTTTGTTTTGTATTTGTTTGATTTTTAATGAATATATTATTTTCAGTATACCTAGTATATGATATTTATTTTTCTGAAACGAAAATAATTCGTCCAACACAAGAAAAAAATTAACATAATGTATTATTAATATTTAAATTTGGTTTTTATTATTGATTTTATGGATAACTACTATAGTACGTATATGTTTACATACTTGACGAATCATTTTTATTTAAGTTTTGAAAAGTATTATAACATTGAATAATAAAATTAAATAACCAAAACGTTTTCGTTTACTGTCATGACATATCAAATATAATAACAACTATTCACAAATCACAATAATGTCAATACATTATAACTTAATATTTTTATTTTAGCAGGTAATATGTATCGACGACACGAATCGCTCATCAGTCAGGTGACCAAAACGGCAGATGACGTGCCTGTGATCGTGACTAGATTGGCGAGCACGGAAAAGAACGACATTGATTACTATCCTTTTTCACAAGTACTGCGAATACGTGTCCTACAGGTAATATTCCAGGATTTGGAGACATATCAAAGAGGGATGTTTATACGGGGGTTAATATAAAATCCTTTTTTTGATCATATATATGGAAACGAATGTAATTTATACTCGCAGATGACGTGTGTGTCGAAGATTATCATGAGTGGTTGCGCGTAATTCAATATAAAAGGGTTTTAAATCTGGGAATTGAATCGTTGGAATTAGATTAATTTATCTCATAAATAATTTCATTATTTAAAATATTAATACTTTTTTCGTAATTTTTAGTAGTTACGACAAACACTATTATATGATAACTGTAAAATAAATCTTTTTTTGCACCTTTTATTTGGGGTGTTTTTTTAAATATTCTATGAAGCAAGAATACATTTAATGAACAAATAAATAACAAGGATGAATTGAACAATACACTATTCTTGTATAAGAAAACTATTATATGGTAGGTATGTCCCAAAAGTCCCGTATAACCCTAAGCGGCTTAATAGTATCTCTGTGACATAGCGGAACATCAATATATTTAAATGCTATTTTTTCAACAGTAATCTATAGGAAAATTTCAATTTAATGGCCTACATTTTCTTATAAATTACTATTGAGAAAACAGCATTTCAATGTATTGATTTTCATCATGGAAATAATTAGGATAGTACGAGACTTCTGATATATAATAATAATAAAAATAATAATTATAATAATAATATCATGATATAATAATATTTGTACTGAAATGTTAAGTAGTGCCAACCACTATTGTGTCAATGTTTTTTTTTGTGTAAATAAATGAAAAAACAAAACAAAATGTTACGAAAAATGTTCATCTCGGTTGTATTTGATAAAATAGTCCAAATATTTAATGAAACTTTCATTTAACCAAAGAAAAATGTAAGCTATTTGGATTTTATTGTGTGAATGTTATTATTGGTACCTTCTCTATTGTTTTGGTTGTGTGTTTGAAATTCGTTTCTTTATTATTTTTTCTCACATATGTTGTGCCACCTTTTTAAACCATCTATTTTTCTTTTCCCTTTTAAACAATAGTAAATAGTATTATTATTGGTCGTTTCTTTTAATATAAAAATTATTTTCACAAAATCCAATAAAAAAAAGCCCAGACAGAATATGGTTATCAAGCTAGGTGTTGTCACTATAGTCTATCTTAACTACGTTTTGGGTAGAAATGAGGATAATGTGGTTTTATATTATTATCATAAATTTGAGAGTAATGTTAAATAATCACACTCTAAGCGGAGTCCGGATAAAACACAAATCCTGACATTTCATTAAAAGGTTGAACGGTAGTTGGCCATAAAACTCAAATAATAACAGCATTAAAGTGGAAAGTGGCAAGTACCATAGTATACATGTCTATATGGTTTTCATTTTTAAAAGTGTTAAACATTAAATAGCCAAAAACCATTTCATAGGTAAAGATACAATAATTTACTATGTCTAGAGGTAGTAAAACTAATAACTTGCACAGTTCGCTAAAAGAAAACCGAACAAAATAAATTAGCATATGAACTGTTAAGTTTATTCATTATACAATTTGATTTTTTATTAGGAAATAAGTTAATATTTTTAATACATTTACTTAAATATTTTGTAACTTGAAAAATAAATAGTAGCTATACTGTGCGAATCGCAAAATAATAAAATAGTGTTTATTTGGTATTTAGTAAACTGCTATTATTGAAAGTGATCTTATAAATGTGGATTTTACGTAGACACAAAGTAAGTACATATATTAAATGCGAAAATTAAATAGGTAGGTTTATTAATCAGATTATACTATAGGTAGTCGATAAAAAAACCAACCACGTTTTAACTTTTTTTGAGCATGTATACTTAATTTAAAAGTACTTACCACAGTAGGTATTTTTGTTGTTGGCACTCGTCTATGTAAATTTATGTACAAAAGTATTCACTCTAATAAATTAATATCCTTGCATACTTATTCATTAATTATAAATTATGTGAACGTTTTATTATTAATGACAGATTAATTTTGTATATTTATGAAATGAGCTACAAATATTCAATAATATGAAAATATAAATTTTTTTCTTAAATACCACTAATATCTGAAATAACAAATCTAAGATATGAAATTATATTTACAATCTTTATGAACCTTGAAATTTGTAATAATTATATTTTAGAGTGCATAGATTAAGTTGAGCATTTATATATGCTATCATCAAGTAATTATGATTAATTACTCATCTACACAGTAAAACATGTCCCAACACCAGACTTACTAATCAACATATATAGCCAAAACTATAATGGCTAGAGCTTTTTAATTTTCGTATGGTACATTCCTACCAAATTGTAGAGATGGCATCAATCATTTTTAAAAATTCACATTTTTAAGATGGACTCATCCAAGAATTTTGCAGTTTAGATAAAAGAGACTTATAGTCTAAAAAAAAGACGAATATTATATTGTATCATATTTTTTATTTTCATTTTTATTTTTAATATTATACCTAGCACTACAATATGCCCAGTAGAGGTCGACAAGGTGAGTTATCAAAACTATAGCCAAAGACGATACATTCAACAATAACTAATGAATCAGATCAAGAAGACACTGAATATTTAATTAATGACAAAAAAAAAAACAAATATACAGCGACTTAATTGACTAGCTTACCTATTGTTCCACCTCAGATTTGTCCACGGGCACATTTATAGTATGTTAAGAATAGAATTTATGTGCAAAAAAATAGGTAAAGTATGCATTTAGTTACTAAAAAAATGCAAACATTATATGTAACGAAAAATCCGGAAAAATATTCCACTTCATATAAAAAAAACTAAATTTTTAATAGTTTTAAAATCTCAAAATATTATTTTAAACCATTCAGAAGTATTACACGAAACACTGATGTGTTAGGTACTAAAAATATTGTTACAAACAACACGCAACGCACTCAAAATACACGACACTATGTCACAACACTTAATAATTTTGGTATAGGTAGTGTTGTAGTTGTAGTCTTGTGAAATAATCTTAAATATTAAATCTAAAATACTGTTGCATTTGGTACTCGTAGTACATCTATGACAATAATGATTACATATAAGTTAAATTACTATACTTACTGTACTATAGTAAGTAATAGCAGAAAATTAAATACTCGGGTAAATTTTTCGGATGAATAATATTCTATTTTGTTTTCTTAAGCCCCTTAACTAAAATATACCATAGAACATTTATTTTAAGTGTTTATAGTTTTAATATTCAATAATATGCATTTTATTCAAAATATGGAGTAATATACAAAATAAAATAACCCCCATTTGCTTAAAAATAACGTGATTCGTGAACATTACAAACAAAAGCAGTAATCAAAAGTTCCAGAATAAAACACGCCAATGCTTATAAATAAAAGCCTCAATAATAATAATAAAAATCAAATTTACTTTTATATGCCAAACTTGGAACAGATTTTGCTTCATAAAGTATCAGGTAAATCACTTGAGCTGGTATGTAAACACGAATTGGCATGTTAAATTTGAAAACGATTGTTGTAGCAATCTAGTATAGATTATATTTAAGTCATTTCGATAGTTTTTTTTCCTCTCTGTAATTGTTTTAGACTTAATGTCTAAACGTCTCCCTTAAAATGAAGTATATTTCCAATCTATTGGCTTTAAATGATATTCTTTTGTCTAAGTAAAAACGATTTTCAGAGCAATACGATTGTTCTTAAAGTTTTATGTAGCATATTCTTCTATGAAGAAAGCGAGTTCTAGGTGTTATATAGAAACTCGAATGCGTTCAAAATGCAATAACTTTTTGAAAATATCCAACAAAAACGCAAAACTTGCTTCTCACAGAATCATTTCCTTATGAGATTTCAAATTAAAATTGGCAATCCGTACAGACAATAGCATTTCCTGATTTTTAATTATGTTTAAACTTAGCATAATTTATATTTACTACTTAACTCTTATCTTATTGAAACTATTTAATACACAAATTTAAAGTATAGTATTAATTAGTTTAAATTCAGACTGGGTGAATAAAATGAATCATTTATTTATAGTACCTATAATGAAATGGTTTACTAATACTAATAGTTTAAAAATTATATGACATGTTATAATACAGAATCATGCAATCTTTCGATTCACTCAACTGAGTTGTAATGATAAATAGGTATCGACTATCATTATTATTAAACATCTGAAAGTGCATTAAGCAATGACATATCTTTTGAAAATTCTACATTTTCTGATATTTCGTTAACTTTTTTAACTGTATAGTTGGTTGGTAGTTTTTCATTACTCTAAAAGAAATCACTAAAAATATCAAAAAACGAAATGTTTAAATACCATCAAATATAATTTGTTTCGTAAACTAAATTTTTTTCTATAGAAGCATATTATGGCTAAAATAATACTCGACATTTAATAGAGATTTTACTATCCTTGCAGTATTTTAATATTATTTTTAAGTTAAACTTATGTAGGTATTATTATAGTAGTTTTACTATAAGCAATAAACTTGTAACTAGACAAATACTTGTTGTTGTAAATTATATGGTTTATCCATAAGCTTTTGTGTAATATATTTCTTCGTTATATCATGTAAGTGGCATTTCCGTAATTGTTTTCGATTCACGAATTTGGTCATAGCAGCTTAATCACGTTCATATTACCAACTAAGAAACTTGTTTTGAACTTTGGCAATACATTCTGTGCTACTTCTAAGACTTAGAATCTAAGTTATGGAACGTGTTTGTGTTCCATTCATCGAGTAATCATTTTAGTGGTTAAGTAAACTCAGGTCTTGGTGCCATGTTAGTGGCTGGTTTATTATTATAAAACGAGAAAAACCACCCGCTTTATCGATAGTTAATATTTCGTTCACAAAAAGCTAAGAAATTGTTTAAAAATTTGGTTGTTTTTATAAACATAACCATTAAAAAATTATATTTTATTATATACGTTATGTATATTATTATGTTACTGTTGTCTGTAATTCAAATGTATTCACATCTAATTTTGTCTCTGGGCACTGGCCTGTATTGTTTTGAAAATAAAAATAATGTAAAAAATAAGCTGAGAGTCAATCGGTATAGGTACTAATTACTTACTGTAAATTTATTTGCGTGTACACGTCAAAAATGTACTAAACACAATTTTTATAAAATTACGTTTTAAAAAGAGCGTCTGATGTGTTAGTATTTTTATTTTTGATGTATAGAACATCTATAAGCAGTCCTTCCCAGAAAATGTGTAGCTGTGGTAATTACGAGCAAACGAATGAAAACGTGTTACCGTAACGAACGCAATTTGCTAATGGCTAATCTCGGAAACTATACATAAAGTTTTATCAATGGACTTTATGAGACTCAGACTCTGTTTTTAATTTTTTTTTGTCGAGTATTATATGCTGCCTATAGGGTTGCTCACGCATGAATTTCTTTATTGCTCGCGAAAATCGAATATTTTGGTTAGAACATAAATAGTTATCAATGATTACAGATTTTATTACTATTACAATTGTTAGAAATATGAAATATCATTAGAATAGCTTTTAGATATTATGTTACACATAAAAGAAATTACTGCGAGCGCAATTTTTTTTATTCTTCAAGATTTTATTATGGTTATCGATTTATTACTTCAGGGTAGATTATTACTTGACTATTCTAAAAATATAACAATATAGTTTGAGATCCTTCTTTGAAAGCTTAAACAACTTAATACATTTAATAGGTAAAATATTTTTAAAAAAGAGACAGTTTTGGATCTGATAAAAGAATGAAAAGCTTATAATAGTGATAAATAATAGAGAGTTATCTCATAGATAGGAAAGCAGTTGGAAAGGTAGGAGATCGTTAGATTAATTGTTAGGGATATTTTTCATATCAACTAACTTCAATATTATATAATAATAATTAATAACTACATAAATGATCAATGATGTTTAAATGTTTTGATACTTTATTAAATAAGTCTTGTTTATATTATGCTTTGTAAAGTGATTGCTATTAATGTAATTGTACAGTGTGTAATGTGTATAATGTATATAATATTCTTTAACTCGATGACCATTTTTTCTGTTATAATTATTTTTTTTATCAAAACGAGTGAAGTTGATCATTTTTTGGAATTATTTAAAAAATACACTAGTACTCAAAATAAGTAAATTATAAAATATTTATAAAAAAAACACGTAACATTTATAATTGGTATTACGTTTTCTTATTCTTATATTTTTTCTATAGTATAAAGTTTCAATTGAATATTATAATACATTAGTCTTAAAAAATAAGTGTTAATCTTTATGATTAAGTATGATATGAGCAAGTTTGTATTTTTTTAAAAGACACTACCTATAGTGAGTACTGAGTAGTGAGTAAATACTCAGTTAGATTAAATGTTTAAATATATGAAAACAATATTATAATTAACTGACCAAAATATCACACATTTTCAGACCTACTAAATGGACTATTCAATGTAATGTTTTTAATTTTTATAGTTATAATATATGACGGTAGTACCCACTAACTACTAGTAGTTACTTATTTTCCAATACTCTATTGTTTTTGATTATGTGTATATTAGGTACAATATTATATTTTGTGTCAGTGGATAAAAGTGAGACGGAGAGATGGTCAATCAAAAATTGTTAAATGGTATATTTTGTTATTTTTTGTTTTGGCATTAATTGAATATTCAGCATTTTTAAGTTCTCTATATGGGTCATTACGTTCTTGTTGGCGGTATCGTCTTTGACTATAGGTTTGGAAGTCTCTGGTACTACCTTGACGACCTCACCTCTTCTGGGTATATTTTAATATTAGGTATGATATTATAAACACAAGTAATAATATAATATTTATCTTTTTTGAAATTATAAACGCGGTTAATTTCCAGTAGGTCATTTATGTCAAATTAAATAAAACCCAACTATAATAATTCCTGTTTTATTTTTTGTAACCAACGACAAACATATAAATATACAAAACAATTTTCGATTTTCGTTTGTTTTTTTTTTCGTTTCCGCCTGTGTGAGCCCATCTTTAAAATTCGAATTTTTGAAAATAATGTATTAGTGCACCTCTAGTGTCTAGTCCCTACATATTTAAACAAATCACAGGCGGAAATCAATTTGAACTGCAGGAGTTCTAAAATTTTTAACATAAATGTATTTAATATTATTTCATATTCAATTGATATTAGATAGATACTTTACAGAGTGAGTCACCTAGTATGCTCAGACCCATTTTCTTTTTCATTAAAATTTAAAAAAAAACATCTGCTTAACAATTGAATTGTAATAAGGTTGTATTTTACTTGAAAAAAATTGGTAACTTAATTTCAGAGGACGCCACTTAATCAAATGGCACGAAAAAAAATAATCAAAGTTTATTGAAAATATTGGTCCCGTGGTAAATTAAAAAATTTCCAAAATCAGAATTTGAATAAATGTATTACAAGAGAAAAAAATTAAGTGAGCATGCTTGGTAGTTGGTGAATCACTCTGTATATAATGAATTGTGTCATATACTATTATATTATGTACATAAAAAAGCTATTTTTGGAGAATGTTGTACATCATAGGAACTTACAGTGGCATCGATACAATTTATTTTATTTGCTGCCCATTGTATATTACATTTAAAACATTCAGAATTTTTGTTTTTCATACGATTAAAAGAACAATGCATGCCAAAATAACAGAGACACTTTATTTATTTCTTTTGTAAGATACACGCTTCGAAATCATTTGTAATCAATAGCCGATCCGAAATCCGACCATTTTCGGACCTCCGTGTCTAACCTAACCCGATGGAGCTATTGCTTTTCAGATAACGTTTTTCTCCATCTGCTTTCTTGCTGAATAAATATGTACATAATATACGAAACCCTTCCACTAACAGTTGCAAATATTTGAACACTAGCTCATATTGACTTCTTTTCGTTGTCGATTTCGGTAAATTTAATGTGCCGAATGAACGCTTTTACATGTAGCGAGATGTTCAACAAGAGTATCTAATATCAATTATAATCGTATTATATTTCGTAGTTCAACGGGAAATATATTAATACTATAGTTTATCTTTTTTTATGCTTTGTCCGCAGATCGTTTGTGGCATACTTGCAGTTGTCATGGGCAGCGTGGCTTGCATAGAAGAGAAAGGTTCATTTGGCAACCTCGGGCTGGGCATACCGACGGGACTCAGCACAGTACTCGCTGCAGGTATGTACCTATTATGACTTTAGGTGTTGTAAACATCTTAATGAGCTACTTCGTGATATTTTCATTGAAAAACGTATTAACATAGGTTAATAGGTTGTTCGTATTATGTGTATATTTGTATATTGTATGTATTTATCAAATTTGTACATAAATAAACAATGGCAGCAAATTAGTAGGTAGCATTGTTTAAACTGAGCCTCCTGTTGGTTTAACAGTAAAAAATGAAGGTTTATAGGTACTAGGTCGAATAATCGAATATCGATATGATTAAATATAATTATAATACTCATTACATAAATATTTTATGACACGCATAAATATGGGGTTAAGACAACAATTCTTAGCTATGTATAAGTGCATAGGTATATGCACTATACAATTTGTCATTTTTCATTTCAAAATGAAGTTTTTTGTGTGAGTAATCATACAATTATTTATTTTTAAATGGTAAATAATTCATTCCCGATTTGTGCTTCACACATACGTTTTTAAACTATCACAGTAATTTAGAGAAGACTTAAGTACCAGTACCTATGTTTAAACTATAATAACGGATTCGGGATTACAAATTTCTGTTAATTTATTGTAATACATCATTTTTTTTGTAGAAACGTAAGAACATAACAACATTAACAACAAAAACGGTTGATAAAATAATACATAGGTATAGATAATAGATCGATAAGTATTATTAAACGTCAATGTCTGGGAATTCAATTTAAATAAATTAAATATTTCATTATATAACCAATAAATAAAAAGTTATAAAACGTATATTCATAGTATTCATTTGGCTGAGATAATTATTTTTCTAAATAGTGTACGATTGGAATAATTTTAGTTATAATAAAATTATGAATGTGTCCAATGTCCATTGTAGGTACCTAACCTTTGTTATGTCGACCCAACAACATATTTTGTAATTTATTTGTTATGCTTATAACTTGTGTTCATCAATGAATGATGTAGAATAAAATTGGTTTTTTTAATTATTTATCACTCGGTTAATTTTCATTTTCATTCGGAAATCACTGTGCATAAATCATACAAATCTACAGAAAATCAAAAATCAATTTTAAAGTTTCGGCATGCCAGCGTAGTTTATTTCAGCATTAAATGATGTTATATATCGAATTGAAAACAGTAAGCGTACCTATATGCATGCATGGATTAGCGTTTAATTAATTGAAGGTAATAATACTCCTTGAGAAATGAGAGTATAATAATTCAGTCATTATTTTCAGGTTTAAATTATAACTGTTATACGGCTCAGGGATGTATAATAATGATTACAGTGTATAATAGGTAGTATTAGATTATAGATGATCCAAGGGGATTTAATATTGCTTTTTATCTCGTACGCATAATTTTGTAGTTTCTGCAGACATAAAAAATTTGTATCGTTAAATAAATGTTATCGAGAATCAACGGGACTTTCGACGTGCTCTATGGCGAGAAAATAGTTATTCACGTTTGGTAAATAAAACTATAAAAGTTAAATACAATCACTTATAGTACAGTCTCGACTTCGTATTTAGCAACTTCTTTGCTTACAAAAAAATATCTGTAATTAAGTATAAACAATACCCGTCACTGCGCTATTTCTCGTGAGATTTGCATGGATGATTTTCTTAGCTACAAAATAAGAAATATTGGCCTAATATCAGCTAAGAAGAAGTGCCGAATAATAATATGATATAGTAGATATATCTTAGCAAAAATTAAGAAGAGTTAGTGCATTGAATGCTTTTAAAAATGATCTCATATTAGATATTCGTTCATAAAGAAAATGTCCCAAACTGTTGTGAATTGTTTGCGTTTAAAATAAATGATTTAAATCTGAAACAAAAATTAGGTGTCGTGTTACACCCAGCTGAAATAAAAGACTCAGAAATATAATTACCTATTGCCCAATTAAAGCAAAAAAAAGAATTTTCACAGGGGTTCAACAACTCCAAGTTTATATAGTCAAGTTTTGCTAGAATGTAAACTAAAGATTAAGACTGTTTTTAGACGAAAATGATGGGATTTGTGAACGTTTTAGTATGAAACGATAAAAAAAATGTATGATAACAGTACAATCACGATGTCCGTTGTTAAGAATGGCGTCTTATTCAGTATCTTAAAAAAAAATGTATTATTTATAAAGAATAAAAGACAGCAATTTTCAATCCACAAAATGCATAATTGTATTATTAATTAATTGTTATTTATTTAGTTTATATATATATCATGCTTGCATATTAATATTATTTATATTCAAATGGTTGTCAGAAATTATAGATTTATTTCACACTACTCAGATTTGATGTTAAGAATTCACCTAAGGAGGCAGTTGAATGCAGTTGAAAGTTAATTTTTTTCTTTTTCAAAAAAATAATGAATATCATAATTATGGAATACCGATTATTTGATCAAATTTGAAAAGTTAATAAAGAAAAATTAGTACATTCCATACATGAAATGTGACGTATATATTATAAATGAAATCGATATCTAAACTTTGAATTCCACGCAGTTTAAAACTTTCAACAAATACGTAATTCACATCATTTTTCTTTGACAACCGTCGGCAAAGATATTGTTTATTGTTATGTAAACGAAATTGTAAGAGATCGAAAAAGATACAGTTAAACCTTTTTCCATCAATTTATGCGGAATAATAGGTTGTGGATTATAATACGTTAGGGACGTATAATACATATTTCATTATAACATTCATGTATTTCAACAAACCAGGGATGAGGTCAGTGTCTGGAACGTTGACGTGTAATGCATAAATAAATATAATAAAATACCAAATACCATATTATAAATAATAATTAAATACACATAATAGTATAGGAAATTATAATATGACGTATTCTAATTAAATGTCCATTATATTTTGTGTAAGTTCAAAAAAATTGAGTAAATGTTCCATAAATTTGTTTTTAAATTTGATAGAGATCTTCAATCCGTGAATTAAATTCACTAAAAGCCGTGTAAACTACTCTTAAAACTTTTATTACCAATGTAAAATACATTATACACATCTTGGCCAAGTGAAAGAGTCGATGAGCAATATAGAACGTTAGTTTTTGTTTTATTTTATGTCCTCTGGAAAGATTTTTAACTTTTTGCTTTTATTTATACCTATCCTTTAACTATTGACCCTTAAATATTTTATAGCTTTCACATAAAAACCACTTTTGAAACAACTCAGAATACTAAAACCTTTAAACTCCATCTAGATGTTTTTGTATTGATATTATTTTCATATAGAAATCGTGTTGGAATTGATAATATATTTTGTCCTATAAATTGTAAAAATTGTATATATTTGAATTTATTACTTGAAGCTTTTGCGTAATTTTTTAGTTTCTCAAAAATAATTAATTTTTTTTCAATTTTTAACCGAACACGTGTATCGACCAGCTGTTACTGCATACACGTTATTCTTCAATAATTTAAATTGTTTTATTAGAAATTCATATAAGTAGTTGAATATTATTCAATTACTTTTATAAAATAATATTCCATTTACATAAATTAACAAGTTACATTTATATTTATGTATGATAAATAAAAACTGTTTATAATATATTACTGCATGGACCAGACACATTTTGTCGGTATTGAATATTGAATTTAATTTGTAAAGCGAGACCTCTCTTAACTGACATACCTTAATAGTAGACATATTGAAATTCCTCTATACTCTATAGTTTACACTTTAGAGAATTTTCACTGTATACCTTTAATTATAAACAAAACCTACAATATTTTAGGTTTATCCATTTCAGTAATATAAAAAACAGTATTTGTTTCATGAACTAGAAAAAATGTATTTGAATTTGTAATTTATTCAAACTCTATATTGTATAGCGTAGTTTATTTGTCTTGCGTTATAGAAATAACACAGTATTGATTAATATAAATTCTTCTTATACAAAACTCATTATAGGTAACTAATAACTGTGTTGTAAGTATGTTTTATTTCAACAGATGTTTATTTGAAGTTTGAATTTAATTATACTTGGAATGTAGTAACTAATAAGTAATAAGTAATCATTATATGTATAATAAACGTTACAACTGCGAGAGGTAATAATAATTAACCTAAACATTGTAATAATTTCATAGTTTTCGTAAAATCCCCTCTGAAATATAATATACCTAGCTTATTAATTCCAATGTAAATAATAATTTTGCTGTTCCGTGTGATAAACAATATGAATTTATCCTTAATACTTAAAAATTAAAATACAGATTCTGTAATATTTTAGCTATGAACAAATAATAATTATATTTATTAATATCAATCGAAAATAGTACCTACACCTCATTTTTTTTTGTATTGGAAAATACAATAAATTGTTTTTTTCTTGTTTTTAAACATTAAACTTAAAACCTTTATTTCGTTTAAGATATTATTAAACTTTTAGCACAGAAAGAATAACAGTTTATGTGATTTAGATTAGACAAGGTTATAAATTATAATGTAGTCTAAATAATGTTAATTGTTGATGCATACATATTTCACTGTATAAGTGAGTATGAGTTGTTATAATTACTATTTTTTAGTTCCTAAGTATGACTGATTTTCTAAAATTGTATTTGTTTGTATAACAAAGCTGCGGCGTATTTTAAATGAACGATTTGTATCTGCAGGTACAGTAAGAGTATAAACTGAGTGAAATCGTACATGAACAGTTCGATGAAAGAAGCCGTCATTGGTGACACGGTGGTTGTAGATGGTTGACCGTGGTTCACCGTCGCGGTGGTTGTGGTTTCCAAATCACAACCAAAATGATTTACCGTGCGGTAGAATTTATGCTTGTGATGTATAATGTACACATTGAACTGTCTATATGCCATGACAGTTGTATACAATTAAATAATACTTTTGTTTACAAAAACAGCTTAAACGTTAATATGCTGTGGGTCTTGAAGCTTCCGACACGGTGTTGCCAATTCGGTTCTGCACAAAACGGAGTCGCGTCGGCCTGTGTCGCCGA